AATCACAGTAACAAGATCATGGAGGGAAGAACGTACAACTTATACATAAAATTGAATCTCTCCACACGAAAATCATGCCTAATTATCTCCAAATAAACCCTAATCCGTTGAGAAATTTCTACAGATTAAAGCAATCCACCAGAATTGACAAAGCAAGGTCTGATCCAAGTTCCGGCAGATGTGGCAGCTTGAGCTCTTGGCGCCGATCAACGGCGCACAAGCCGGCTTTAGCTTGATCGTCTTCTCGGATTTTGTTTTCCCTCGAACCGATCGAACAATTTGATTCCATCTGAACTGCAGAAGCTTGAATCTTTTTATAAAATTTGCGAAGCTGAACACTGTAACTATCCATGGCGCCCGACATTAGTGCGGAAGATGAAGAAGGGAAGACGGATGGTTTGGGCTATTTATGAATGTGAAGTGGCCATTGGGGAATAAAGCAATGGAATTTGTTGAAGTTTAAAACAGGGGGAGGTTTTAGACCGTTGGAAGTTGAGAGCCGCAGGTTATGGGTCAAAAGGTCTTGATGGTGCTCCTTGGAATCTAGCCGTACATCATGACAATATGCCATTAGATTGGATGGTGGATATATTGGTACGCATAGAAAGTGGCGTGGAGGGAGGTCCTATGTGATTTTGTTTTCCTTTTGGGCTGCCGGATTTGGGGATTAGAAAACCGCGGCTGTTCTTTGTGAGAAATTATTATGTTCTTTTAATACCTTTTTGCTGCGTTCTTTGTAATAATTGATATTTTTTTAAGGGGGGAATTTTTGGAGGAGCCTACACGTTAATATAAAAGGCAAAATATAAGGTCCAAAGAGGATCTTAAGTTTACTAATGCTCGAAGAGCTACAAAATTAAATAAAGAAAAAAAAAACCTATGAGTCAAAAATGTTGGGAAATTTCTATATGTGGGCCAATATATTTTATACATATAAATAAAGAATTATACATTAGACGCTATCTAAAATTAAGCCAATTAAATTTGTGATCTATTTGAGTATTAAATAATTATTTGGCTTATGTGGCATCTCATTTAAATTTTGTATGGAATTAATTTTGTGTAGAGGCCGGGTATTTATTTTATTTTAATGATGGGCTGAAATAAAAGAAATACACTTAAAGTATAAAAGGTCGTGGTCCCCAGTTTAAGCGGTTAAGTTCTCATTTCTCTCATTTCCCATCTTGAGTGAAAAGAAGGGGTCTCTCGCTCTCTTGGAGAACGCCGCTCTAAACGTGGAAGATCGAAAGACCTTGATTTTGCATTTCAATGGATTCAGGTACGCTTCCGAAAACTTCTTCTCGATGATTTAGCATGTCTATCGGAGACGATCGGTTTTTTTTATTTTCGTCTCCGTTAAATCCTAACAAAAAATCCCCAACACCCAAAATACTAAATAATTGAATATTTGCTGCGATTTTATTGAATATTTGCAAAAGCACAATAAAAAAGCAGTAAAAAATCATTCATTTTATTGCCTTTTGCAAAAGTGCAAGGGCAGTAAAAGCGCAGCAAATCCAGATGATTCTCTCCGTCTAGTGTCTGCACATAATTATTTCTCATTCTTTTGTGGGTTGTGATAGAATTATATATATATATATATATGGAGGAGGGAGAGAACTTATAAGTGGCATTATATAAAAAATTTTCATACATATATATAAATTAAGTTGTGAAGATATGAAATTTTTTATATAAAAAAATCTAGGAAGAGAAAAATCAAGATGCTTATTTCACTATAATCAGATTTGGAGAGCGTTTGATTACTCTAATAGTATCATTAAGTTTCCAATTAAACTACGAAGTGATTGATTTATGTCCATTTAGACTTTTATCGAGTTATTTTTTGGTATTGTTAGATTCATCTTTTTGAAGCATTAATTTTAACCAAGTTTGATGAAAATAGAATTTTGATGGCTTAGAGTTCAATTATAAAAATTATTCTAAAATTCTTGCGTGATCGTATGAATTTTTTGCCATAATAGCAATATATATAGAGTTATATAAATAAAAATTATTCTTTTTAACAATTTATTTAGAATTGTAGTAATTCACATTTGGTTTAGTTAGAATTGTTTTTACCTACATATTGCATTTTTAAATTAAGTGGAATTAATCCATATTAACTTAGAAATAGGCATGTAACATTCTTTCTTCCTATTTGACATATGTTTATTTGTGCTGGTTATGGCTAGCTACCAGTGCAAATAAGATGAGTCTAGATCAAGTTATAATTAATTCAAGCTCAGCTCATTAACCAATTGCAGATTCGACCTTGAGCTCAAGCTCAAGTCAAGCTCATATATTGAGCTTGAACTTGGTTTGATAGATTAAAAGATGAGCTTGAGGTTGACTCATGAGGTAGAATCCCCAAAATTCTCTAAGGTGTAATGTGAATTCACTGGAGAAGACATTAACAACGACGTTAGTTCACTAGAGAAGGCATCGGGACAGGAGCTTGTTGGAAAAGATATCGACGATAGTAGTAATTTGTTCGAGAATGCATCGACATTGGCATTACATTAATAGAAGCTCACAAGAGAAGGCGTCGGCATGACCAACAACATTTGAAGAAGTAAATTAAAAGATCGAGGAGTTTGTGAGATTTGTGGGTTTATGTTAGGGTTCATTAGCTCGTTAAGGAGACAAACTCGAGCTGGTTCCCCTAGTCATGGCCTCTCATCATCATGGAAGGACTCTTTGCCTTCAGAAAGTTATCATGGGAAACTGCTATTACTAAAGTAGATTGTGCCGTTTCTAGATATTATTGAAATGCAAAAGTAAATTATTTTACTTACCAATAACTATTGTTTGTTTGCTTTCTCTTTTTAAATAGCATTTTTTTCAGCTATCATTATCTAAAAATAAATATATTATGAAAGAATATGCTCTTTTTTTAACAATCACGAAAAATATGTAACAATTTTAGAAAAAAGTAAGGAATATATTCCTATTATAACAATTATTATTAAAAAAGGATATTATAATTACAAAATTCATCATATTCCAATGTTCCTTAAAAAAGAAGGCATTTCATTTAAGAGATTATTTTGGTTTTTTTTTTAATTAGCATTGTCCTTTTATTATTTTTATGTATTTTGCATTGATTAATTTATTTAATCATCTGTTTTTCATTCAACAGTTTTTCTCATCATCATCATCATCATCATCACTGTTTTAAAATTATTTAAGCTTTTTTTTCTTAATATTGAGTGATAAATTATATGATTTATATGGACCATTTTGAAAATGGTATTATGTTTTTTAATCAATGAGCAGCTTGTTCTTTACTATTCTTCCTCAAATTTTTTAAGGACATGAAGAAAGAGATGTATATGTAAATTTGGGAATATAATTCATTTCTTTCATAATTTATTTCAATAAAATAAGTTTTGTATTTACGCAAATTTTTTATTTGCACAAGTTATTATAGCTTTATTAGTCTATTAGAAGATTCTCATGCTTGTGGAAAGCTCCAATTTTGCTATTATTTTCTTAAGATAAAAATTGCTTTCCTTTAATAAATTAAAGAAGTTCTAAAGATTTAACAAATAAAAAGAAAAAAATACATGTTTGATATTATGATATAAACTATATTAGAATTGACTTGAAACAATTTATATTGTCTTGACAATATTAATATAGTACATGAAAATTTATTTTGTACTAATGTTACAATAAATTTAATGAAATAATTTTAAAATTCATCATAATATAATTTATATTATATTCTAACATAATATCTAGTCCGTTTTAAAAAAATTAAAAAGCAAACCTTTTTATGGAAAAGAATTTGGTTGAGTCTTAAAATTTTTAAAATTATTATTTAAAAATATAACATATAAATAATTATTTAAATTTACATTAGACTCATCAAATATTCAAACGCTTTAAAACCCGATCTGCATGTAATTTTTGGTCAAATATTTTGACGCAAAATTAATTTATTAATTATTATATAGTATGATCATATGTAGTTGGAATAATAATAATTAATAATTTCTTTATGAGTGACATTTGTTCAAATGAGCAAGGCCAAAAAGTTTTTTTCCCTAGATTTTTTTTTATCTGCTCTTTTTTTTGTTTTGCTTGATTATTAATTTATATAAAAAAATAAAATAAAATCAATTCTTCAATTTTTTTTTTCATTAGCAGCATAAATTACTATGAGTAATTCTTTATCTCTTTATTCCAAATCAAAATTTATATTTCTTTCATAATTTTCTATCAATGATATACGTTCATGAGTATAGATGCTCAAAATATGAATTTTAAAAAAAATTTAAAGAATTTCTTGTATAAGGTATATGTTGGATTCTTTATAAAAATTTTGTGTTGATATACAAACATTCATCAAGGCCAAACTTTATAATATATGCAGCTCATCTTGATCTCTTAGTTGGAAGTTTTGACTATTACCTAAGAGGCCTTGAATTCGAGTACTGTGTATATAATTTGTATATGAATTTGTCATAATTGACATAAATGTCCAAAAAAAAAAATGATATAGAAAAATTGAAGCACAATACATTTTAAGCTATGTAGGATCTCATCATTTTTTAAATTATGTCTTTATTTGGAACAATTTTTTTACTGCTTTTTAAAGTAATTTTTTAGTATAAATATTTTAATTTTTGTACTGAAAAATTATTTTAAGAAGTATTAAAACTATAGTCCCAAATGAAGCTCATGAATGCTTAAATAATTTATGAAAAAGTAGTGAAAATTTATTATTTTTAATATTTGTTCTGATAGTAAAAGCAACACTAATTTGTTAATATTTTTTTAACACCTCCATGATTGAACATCATGATGACCTAATCAACACAATTAATTTATTATTTATACATTGCCTCCTCTTCATTCACTTCTCCCAGCTTATTTCATCACTTCCCCCGGCCCTCTTCTTTCATTATTTCTCTACTCTTTATTCTTTCTCCTTTTTCATCTTCCTTTCATCCCTTCCCTTCCATTACTATTTCCTTGCATGATTTGCTCCCATGCTCCTCCCAATGACAACAACAGACGCCGCCGTCGCCACCGCAGTTGAGCCAACTTTGAGTCTAGGCTTCGAGCCTACGATCGCCATGGCGCCACAACACAACTCTCAAATTCATCATGAATCAACCAGGAATTCAAGAACCAGTCATGGAGGAAGACGGAGCATCCGTGCGCCGAGAATGAGGTGGACTAAGTCTCTTCATGCTCGCTTTATCCATGCTGTGGAGCTCCTGGGCGGCCATGAAAGTAGCTAGTCAAGCTCTTCATTTCTTTTGTTTATATATTTCTGATATTTTTACTTCTTTTAAACCAATATAAATGAACTTCATGCACAGGAGCAACACCAAAATTAGTACTAGATTTGATGAACGTGAAGAATCTAACACTCTCGCATGTAAAGAGCCATCTCCAGGTAAAAGCTTTATATCATTTTATAATGACAGAGACAATCTACAAAATGAAAGATGATAACATTTGGTAGAAATTTTCCTTGACCCAGCACAATTAGATCGTCATACCTGTAGCATCCTGATGCAGTTTTCTGACTATATATCCCTTTTGCTATATATTACTTCTATGAAGAAAATTTATTTTTTTTTGTTAGAACCCACAAAGGGACTTTCACGTTGATATAAACGGAGGTTACAAGTCCTTAAAAGCTCCAAAAGCAAACTAAAAATACAATCATCGATCAAAGTAAAACCTAAGAGCTAACGGAACTTAACTATTACAAAAAAAACCAACAAAGATAAAATTAAAAATAACATAAAAAGAAACAGGAACCATAAGCAGTAGTGAACAGCAAAGCCATCAAATGTGAGACAGACAATAAGGGCAGCCAATCTGCAAGAGGAGGAGCCACCAAAGATTCTGCAAGAGAATTGCAAGAAGAAAGGAGACAAAAACCAACCCCGAAAGCTCTTATTCCAGTTCTAGAACTTTGTTAGGGTTAGGGTTTCTTGCAGTGATGGGAAGAATAGAGAATACTAGTCAGATACATATACCAAGGACAGAATAATGGCATCTATAGAAGCAACATGTATCATCAGATAGCTTTATAGCACGTTTGACTGTTTGCTTCATTATTATTATTATTTTTTCTTTCAAATGAACTTATCATTTTTCCTTTTCAGTTTGTTTATGGGATTTTGATGTTGTTGCAGATGTATAGAACCGTGAAGAGTGCAGATAGAGGAGGTTTAGCAGGTAATTTATTTATTTTTGTTCTCTCTGATAATATTCTAATTATGAACAAATATAATAACTATTGCCGGCCTATTGTCATTCGATGCATGATGGACATGATAGGGATTCAATTCAATTAAAATTGGAGTTATTTTGATAAAAAAATAAGACTAGATTGAATTCCATCCTTCTTTGTTGAGAATTGGATGCCTGGCCGGCAATAACTATAAGGATTCGCACCCCACAAATTTCTTATTGGCAATTTTTTTGCCATTGATCATATCAATATGATTAATAGCTTGCTGAAAATACAAATTAAATATAAAAAAAAATTGTAAGCTAAGCAATTAAGGGGCCGTGGTTTACATACATACCATTTTATTTCAAGTCGATCATTTACATATCTAATACCTAAAACTTTAATATTAGAAGACAACAAATATGTTGGCAGGGGCGGAACCCCATAATGGCTAGGGGGGCAATCCCCCCCTCCCGGAAAAAAAAATGTTAAAATACTATGATCTTTAGGCAATTGCCCCAAATATAATTAAATATATAGTGTAGATATATTATTGTTAGGGAATGATGAACCAAATACAAATAGAAATAGTAAATCAAAATTTGTTCCGGGGGCAGCCCCTTGATCCCGCGGCCTGACCGGACAGGTCAAACCCTGCCAGGGGGTGTTGTCCCCTTGGACCACGACATATATGCTAACAGTTACTTTAAGTTAGCCCCCCTTGAAAATTATAACTGGTTTTGCCCCTGTATGTTGGTATGGGTGGTAAGAATGAAATATATGTGTTAAATTTCATATTAAAATTTTATATGAATGGTAAGAATGTAATATTAAACTTTTAGATGTTAGATATATAAATAACATGAAATAAAATGGTATGTATGTAAATCTCCTATAGTTAGGGGAAATAATGAGGTCTTTTCTTCATGTGAACTATTTAATTTGTTGGGAGTCTTGTGAGTTAAAAGCTATTCGATCTTATTTATGACTAGTTTTCTGGTGAATGCGCATTGTTTTGCAGGGCAAGAGGAAGAGCTAAGGCAGTCATATCTGGGCCTTAACCAATGGTCAGAAGTAGACGGAGGACATTCTGCAACCAATTCTTCTCATCCTCTCAGTGCAACAACTCCCAGCTACACCAGTACTAGCTAGGTACTAAAAAAAAAATTGAGTAAGGATATCTTGATGTAATCGGGCCTTTGAATTATCTTTGAGATTAGTGCTATTTATGATATTAAAAAAATGTACTAATCGCAACGTAAATCCAAGGACTATTAAGTCCAACATGAAGTCAATTAAGTCAAGATATCCTTAAACAATTTTTTTCTTGTATTACAAATCTAAATATAAATTTTCAAATATGCCCATTATGTATTCACCCATTACATATCAAACTAATAAAATGCAAAAAACATATCATCACTTGTAAGAAATTGTTGCTGAGTTGAAAGATATATAGTTTGTAATATTTTGAAGGAAAACAATTCCCTTAACATTAAGGGTAAGTTTGTAATATTTGTTTAAGAAAATTTTACTTAATATTATTATTTTATAACATAAAAAAACAGAAATATTTTCACAGAATATTCAACAGTGTGAATCTTGACAAACATTCCAAGTTAGCCGTGCCTTCTATATATAAATCCTGGAAAAAATAAATTATTATAAAAAAAAATTAAAAATAAAAAAATAAATATTGAATTGTCTGTTCTCACTCAAATGCATGTGAAGAGAATTTCAAAGGGCTCAGTTCTATTTGCCATTTGTCCACACTGTAATAAACAGGTTCTCATTTGATTTAGTATTTTAATTGTTTAGTGGATTTTAGTTGTTTTATTAGCTGTGTTAGTCAAGCTGGCTAGTGATTAGTTTAAAATGACAACGAGATTAATTAATTAATTAATTATTTAATTATGTATTAATTAACTTCAAGATAATTAATAGTTGAGTTAATTAGATTTCAACTTCTGGTTGTTGACTGGGTTAATTAGAGGACAAATGGATAATTTATTAAAGAAATAATAATTAACACTAATTTCATGATTATAGTTAATACCAAGTTGATTTTGTAACCTAGTTAGGTATATAAATATTTGAATATGTAATGGCAATGTAGTAAAAATTGAATAATCAATGTTAATTATATATGTCCTTTTCTTCACAGACAGAAGGCTAAAAAATTATGAAGTGAAGACAAGTTGTGCTTGAAAAACAAAGCTAGGAAAATGTATGGTTTTGTTATTAACAAATTAACCCCCCTTTAAATATGATTTTTTTTTTTAATTTGTGCCTTTGAATATGAATTCTAGATAAAAGCATTTTATTTATTTATTTATTTCTACATTTTTTTATTATATGGCAGGATGAACACCTGTCAAGAAATCAATGATTTCATGATGAGAATAACTTTAGGCAAATTTGATTGTTATGATGTGTTTGTATAGTCATTAAGCTTTTGTTTGGGACGGCTTTCTTACTACTTCTTAAAATAACTTTTTAGTATAATAATTGTTGCGTCCTAGAGTATTCGCGTCGGTAGAGAAATATAAAGTTTAGCATCTTAGCGTTGTACGAAGATCCAGCACACAATCAGATAAGAGAAAGAGTGTAGCATTTATAAGAGACAAAAGTTTTTACGCGGAAACCCTTGAAAAAAGAGGGAAAAAACATATGGCCTGACCCAATTTAAAATGAATCCACTAGTATTTGCAATCGATTACAGTTAAGGCCCTTCCTTGAGAGAAGTCATTGGCTTGATGGTACAAATGTACATCATATAGAGCGCATTACATGGTGAGAGTTACAATATAGACATGTTTGTTTAGTCGGCATGACCATAATTAATAGGATAGAGGTCGGAAAGATCGTTGCTTGGTGATGGAGGTCGAAAGGACCATAGTAGATGATCGAGATCTGAAGGACAGTCATCGGCAGGAAATAGAGGTCCAAAAGAATGCCGTCTGGCGATGTAGGTCGGAATGACCGTAGTAGAAGACGGAGGTCGGAAGGACCGTTGCTTGGTGATGGACGGGGATCCAATAGACCGTTGTAGTAGGGCGGTACTCTGGTAGAATTTTAGGCATCAGGTGGTGGCCTAATAGAAGTTCAGGCCTCACGTGGTGACCTGGCAGAAGTTCAGGCCTCAGGTGGTGGTATGGTAGAAGTCCGGGTGTCAGGTGGTGGTCTGACGGGAGTTTGGGCCTTAGGTGGTGGTCTGATGGAAGTTTGGGTCTTAGGTGGTGGTCCAGCGGAGCAATAATGCCAGATGGTGATCCAGCGAAGGTGAGGGCTTCAAGTGGTGGTCCTAGAGTATTCGCGGCGGTAGAGAAATATAAAGTTTAGCATCTTAGCGTTGTACGAAGATCCAGCACACAATCAGATAAGAGAGAGGGTGTAGCATTTATAAGAGACCAAAGTTTTTATGCGGAAACCCTTGAAAAAAGAGGGAAAAAACATATGGCCTGACCCAATTTAAAATGAATCCACTAGTATTTACAGTCGATTACAGTTAAGTCCCTTCCTTAAGAGAAGTCATTGGCTTGATGGTACAAATGTACATCATGTAGAGCGCATTACATGGTGAGAGTTACAATATAGACATGTTTGTTTAGTCGGCATGACCATAATTGATAGGATAGAGGTCGGAAAGATCGTTGATTGATGATGGAGGTCGGAAGGACCATAGTAGATGATGGAGATCTGAAGGACAGTCATCGGCAGGAAATAGAGGTCCAAAAGAATGTCGTCTGGCGACGTAGGTCAGAATGATCGTAGTAGAAGACGGAGGTCAGAAGGATCGTTGCTTGGTGATGGACGAGGATCCAATAGGCCATTGTAGTAGGGCGGTACTCTGGTAGAATTCTAGGCATCAGGTGGTGGCCTAATAGAAGTTCAGGCCTCACGTGGTGGTCTGGCAGAAGTTTAGGCCTCAGGTGGTGGTACGGTAGAAGTCCGGGTGTCAGGTGGTGGCCTGACGGGAGTCTGGGCCTTAGGTGGTGGTTTGATGGAAGTTTGAGTCTTAGGTGGTGGTACAGCGGAGCAACAATGCCAGATGGTGATCCAGCGAAGGTGAGGGCTTCAAGTGGTGGTCCGGCAAAGCAACGTTGTCAGGCAGTGGTCTGGCAGAGGTGAGGGCTTCAAGTAGTGGTCCAGCGGAGTAACGACGTTAGGCGGTGGTCCTGCGGAGCTCAGACCCTTAACTGGTGGTCCAACGGAACTCCAGAGTCATGTAGTGGTTCGGCGGAGGAGAGGGCTTCAAGTAGTGGTCCGGCAGAGCAACGGCGTTAGGCGGTGGTCCTGCGAAGCTCATGCCCTTAATTGGTTGTCCAACGGAACTCCGATGTCAGGCGGTGGTTCGTTGGAGGAGAGGGCCTCAAGTGGTGGTCCGGCGGAACAACGACGTTAGGCGATGGTCCGGTAGAGCTCAGACCCTTAAGTGGTGATCTAGCGGAACTCAAGCGTTAGGCGGTGGTTCAGCGGAGGAGAGGGTCTCAAGTAGTGGTCTGGCGGAGCAACGACGTCAGGCGATGGTCCGGCGGAGGAGAGGGTCTCAAGTGGTGGTCCGACGAAGCAACGTCGACGTCAAGCGGTGGTCCGGCGGAAGTTCAGGCCTCAGGTGTTGGTTCGGCAGCACTCTGGTGTCAGGCAGTGGTCCAGCGGAGGAGAGGGTCTCAAGTGGTGGTCCGACGGAGCAACATTGACGTCAGACGGTGGTTCGGCGAAAGTCCAGGCCTCAGGTGTTGGTTCGGCAGCACTCCGATGTCAGGCGGTGGTCCATTAGTGGAACTTCAGTGTGAGGGGGCACTTTGGATTTAGGTGGCACTTCGGCGTCTTTGGATGGTATGGTGGTGGTTTGACAGAACCTGGAGGTGCGGCAGAACTCTGGTGGTGGTGCTGCAGAACTCTGGCGGTGGCGCGACAGAACTTTGGCGGTGGTCAAGGAGGAGCTAGGCGGCTGGAGCCTTCTTCATTCTCTTCCTTATTCTCTCTTGGCTCTTCTCCTCTCTTTCGAGAGGAAATGGGGTTCTATTTATAGAATTTTTTGAGTGGCATGGCTTGTAAATAAGTGGAAGATCAAGGGTAAATTGGGAGTGGTTCGAATGGACCACCGATCTTGATTACTACTATCATGTACCGTTTAATAGACCTTTGACTGTCTTAATGGTATCATAATTTGATGATCTTAGGCTCGTTGGATTTTTCTCATCGAGCTACTCGATTCAATTATAAGCATGTCATGATTGGAGACCGTTTGGTTACCCAAATTGAGGCTTGATCCTTCCAAAAGTGCTTCGAGTATTTGATTTGGACTCATTTGGGCTCGAATTGGGTCAATTTTGGTGTCATTGGGTTCGTGTTTCCGTAACGCTCAGTTTGACTATAAGTTTGCATAAATCAGAGTTTGGATGGTCTCAATTTTAATTCTTGAAGCTTTCAACTTGATTTTGCATTAAGATTTGTGCTTGATCAAGGTATTTTTTTGATGATATATCAATAATTAATTTTTTTATACGAGAAATTTGCTTTAAGAAACAGTAAGAAAGCATCCCAAGCAAAGCCTAAGTTAATTTTGTGGTGGATGGAATAATTTTTTTAATAAATTAGTTATATCTATCGTTAGTACATCTCAAAGCTAATCAAAATATAAAAATCATTTTGATTAAAATTACATAATGATATTTTTTTCAAATTTAGGGTCTGTATAGAATAGTTATCTTACCACTTTAATTTTCAAATAACAATCATAATTTCATCTCACTACTATTATTTATTATTTTATCACAGTTTTTTTATAAATTTTTTATAACAAGAATAACAAAGTTGCATTTCTCATAGCAATTTTATAATCAATTTCATAAAAAATTGCAGTCAGCCAAATAGACCCTTAGAAATCAAAGTATTGCATTTCATACAATACTCACATAATTAAACATGCTTCTAAATTTCATTTTATATTTGGAATTGGCACAAACATTTATTTGGTACAAATGTAACGAAAGTGAGTTCTTATTTTTATACTAAAATAATAAATGAATTCAATTTATTAAGGCATCTATAGAAGTCACTTTGAATTCTATATTTTAATTAATAATAATAAAGCAAAGTTAATGGAAGATTGGGTCCAATTTTAATCCTAGGAAGATGTTGTTTAG